GCAGAATTCTTCAAGAATCTAACTCCAATTCAACAAAAGGGTAGGCGAGTACCCATAATATTACAGGAAAAAGTCGATAAGGAGATTGAAAAACTGTTGGAACAAGGTCATATCCAAAAGTTGGAAGAATGTTCAGATAAATATTTTGTTTCACCTATTGTCATCACAGTGAAAAAGGACGGTTCTGTAAAACTTGCACTGGAATCTAGAGAACTGAACAAGCAAGTGCATAAGAATAAATACCAAATGCCCAATATTGAAGAACTAATGGACATTGTAGGGCAAACTATCAGCGAACGCAAACAGGGGGATGTTTTTTTTACAACGATGGACCTCACGTACGCCTACGGTCAACTTCCTTTAAATGAAAATACTAGTAAACATTGCAATTTTTCGTTGGTGGGAGGCCGCTCTACCGGTACATATCGATTCAAAACAGGATTCTACGGATTGACAACCATGCCGGCGGAATTCCAACGAGTCATGGATGCCATTCTGGCTGAATTTCCGTGCGCGCATGCTTTCATTGATGATATATTAGTAATTTCAAAAGGTACCAAGATCGAACATATCGCCTTGGTGGAGAAGATTTTGGCGAAATTAGATAGAGAAAATATGGCTTTGAAACTAGAAAAATGTCAATTTGCGAAAAATACTTGCGAGTGGTTAGGCCACCGGATTACGAAATCAGGGATTACACCAATGGTGCGGAAAACAGACCCAATTGACAAATTAACCGCCCCGAAAACGCTCTCTCAATTTAAATCGTTCATGGGGTCAATCCATAGCCTTCACAAATACTTACCGGCGTTAGCAGAAACTTCGGCGCCTCTACGTCCACTTCTAAGTAAGAAAAACGAATTCCTCTGGACAATTGACTGCCAAACAGCGTTCGAATCGCTTAAGAAACAAGTCGCGAACATTGTCGAACTTAAGCATTTCGATGTACATAAGGACATACGTATCGTGTGCGACGCAAGCCATAACGGTTTGGGGGCGGTACTCGAACAACTAGGCGCCGAGGGTTGGCGACCAATATCATTAGCGTCCCGTTTTCTAAATGCGGCCGAAAAGAAATATTCGACAAATGAGCTAGAAATGCTGGCCGTAGTTTGGGGTTCCGAATATTTCAGAAATTATATTTTCGGGCGGAAATTTACTGTAGTGACAGATCATAAGGCTTTGGTATCTTTATTGAATGGGAACAATAAGAAAAACAAGACTATGTTCAGTCGGTTAACTCGTTGGATCGATAGAATTATTCCCTTTGATTTTGTCATTGAACACATGCCTGGGGCTAAAATTGGCCTGGCGGATTATCTATCAAGGCATCCGGTGGGGGAAGCAACAAGAGTTAGTCTTTATGATAACACTTTCACAGTTGCAAAATTGCAATCAATCACCAATTCACTCGGATATATTGATACCAATAAAGGGATCATTATAGCATCAAAGAAATCAATTGTTTCAGCTAAAGATATACAAGTTGGAAACGATAAAGTTAACATTCCACCGGAAGAGGGCGTCAAAACGCGTGACTGTCGGCCAACCAATCAGAAGCCAGTAAAACGAATGGCTGAGTGTAATGACCGGGAAAGCGCAAAAGTAGTAAAGTCAATCACCGAATGTAAACTACGTGAGTCTGATATTAATTCCACAGTAAACAGTAGTCCTCCATTTAACAAATCAAGTTATCGATCTAACAAAATACATATATCTACAATGACATCACTTAATTTGAAGAAACTAAATAAATTACTGTTGAAACATCCAGAAATAACAAGCGGCAGCAGCAGCGAGGTGGAAATAGTGGACGCATGATTGGAGGCGGAGACACATCACACTAGGGACATCCGATGCAACACGGTCATCTCCATTCCTTCGGCATTCGGAGGCGAACTCTTTCCGGCGGCATACCCAGCAGGAGGAAACGTCATTATGTCAGTAATTCCCCGGGACTGTAAGATCATCCGAAAAAGCAGTGCATTGCCGGAGCTATTCAACCTGAAACTAGTTGAAGCGAATTATAAAGGGGACCCCCAGATGCGCGCGATAAAAGAACTGGTGTAGAGTAAGGACCCGGAATTGGAAAAGAAGGTCAGAGCAATGGGTGCCTACCTCGGACAGCACACACATGATTTCCACGTGCGGGAAAATTGTCTGTGGATGGACGAACGACTCGTCATCCCCATACCACTCAGAAAGGCTGTGGTCAATCGTATACATGCGTTTCACCATGGGCGCTCGAATATGTTCGACGCTGCGAGGGATGTCTGGTTTCCCTATCTCCACCGGAGTTTAGTCGCAGCTGCGGATGGGTGCAAGGAATGCACGGATGCAGGTAAAAGCCTTTACCATTATGCGCTAAAGGTGACGTTGGGAAAGTCTATGAACCACGGGAGCCGAATGAATGTCTACAGCTAGATTTTTGGGGTCCGATTAGATACTTAAATGAATCGAGTAAATATGTCTTGGTAGCGGTTGACCGATTCTCACGTTGGCCCTCTGCAATGATCTGCGGAAATAATAAAAGCGACAAGGTCCTTAAGTTCATTAAACAATACATATCTCAACATGGTGTCCCTAGGAAAATTTTCATGGATCAAGGAACAAGTTTCACATCGAATGCAGTTAAATCATTTTGCAATTCCGAAGGAATAGAAATAATTTATTCGCCCGTAAATGATCATCGTGCAACCGGGTGTGTTGAACGTACCATTGGCAGCCTGAAAAACTTTGTCTTAACTTACGCTAAAGAAAAAGATAGTGGAAACTTAGAATCAATGATAGAACGAGCCTTGAGTGCTCTAAGATTTGCTCCGAATGCTACTCTCAAATTATCGCCGTTTGAAGCTCATCACGGCAGGGAAGCAAATACGGTACTTCGAAATCTTACGAAAAAGCCAACCCTGCAAAACCTAAATTGGGCCAGAGTGTTGAAACAAAAATCTGCCTATTTAGATTCTACTGACCCCAGAACTCAGAAAAACCTCCAACCCATGGCAACGGATTGGGAAGAACGATCCGACGTGGATTTTGATGTCGATCATATGAATCACCCTAGGCGACTGACACAGAATCAACTAGTTTCGGCGGCGGATGGAACACCAATGGCTGACGGGGACGGGAAACAGGCTTCTGGGGGAAAGTCTAAACAGCCAAGTAAACGGACCGAGCTGTTGTTCCAACGACTTAAGGATAGCAATAAAAGCTATAGACCCATAAACCAAAAAGTAATTAGCGAATCTAAGCACACTCTAACTCTAGCAAATGGCTCTGTACTTAGGAAAAGTGGGGTTGCCGAGAAAGTCATCAAGACCAACGCGCCAAATACTGCGAGCAAGCTAACACTATCACCCCCAGCCATGAGTGCATGGAAACGTCGGGCGGAATTGAAACGAGCAGCAAACGAACAGGCGGCGGGGACAAGCACACAGAGTAAAGCAAGCACACAGAGTAAGGCTGATAACAGAACGCGAGAATTTTCACCAGCGGAGGAGGCAGATTCGGATTCGGAGTACGAGCCGATAACAATTTCTAAATACGCAGGGAACTCAACAACAGCACCAGGGCGAAATGCGGAAGAAAATGAACCAAAGGTGCCTAAAGATGTAGAAGACGGAATTGGAAGACCAAACTTATCCGAAGGAAGCGGAGCTGAAAAATCCAAGGGGGTGGACACGGAGGTCCAAACTATGAGCACCGAACAAGGGGGAAGTGCCCCAAATTTGAGTAACGAAGGACAAGGGGAGAAACAACCTAAAAAGAAAGGGGAACGAGTACGACGCTTACGTCTCGTATCATACTCTAGTCAGGAATCAGAAGATGGGACAGGATCAAGGAAAAGTACCAGGAAACGGACGGCGGTATCCAAATTCGGCGGGGTTATGATAGACAGTATATTGAAAGCGAGAACAACCAAAGGAGAGGAAGACAGAGAGCGGGACACTAATTAAGCAGGAAGGCCTACTTGAAAGAGGGAGTGAAAAAGGAAACTAAAGAAAACTTGTTAAACTAAAACTTATGCCCAGGGAGAGGGTGGACTACTGCTGGTCCAAAACTCAAACATTTTCCGTTGGATAATTTTTAAAACATTTGTTTGAAAAATGATTGTTGAGGGAATGTCATATATAGTATTCCTAGTATCTAACCATATATATTACGTGTTGGCGCCATTGGTTTAGCTATGTGTTTGGTGCGGCTACCAATTAATTAATACCTGCCAACCTTAAGTTTAGTCTGCGATGTTTTGAGTCATTGTTGTTAACCGTTAAAGAATAAAACGAGTCAGTCTTAATTCAGTGAATTAACGATATTGAATCTGCATTTTTCACAATGCTTTGATCTTAATACGTATGTGCGGTCAAGGCCAAAGGTGGTGTTTAGAAGTTTACTTATTATAAGTTCAGTGCTCCATTCGCATGTATGGAGTTAAGCCAGCTGAACTGAGCTACGATCTAAAACGAGAAAAGAACTTAAATTCAACTCTTAGAATATCCGTGTTTTATCTATAACAAAACAACAGGAGTTTCAGGATTATCACATATTTCATCAAAAATTGTCAGTCATAAACTTTTCTGGATTTTCAAAAGTTTTAAGGCCATTTTTTCCTTTGAACTTGAAAGTTGAAATCCGAAAGTTGAGATTCTTTGAAACTCGAAAGTTCAATATATTTTTTGTTTATTTGCGTGCATTGATTTTTTTCAACGGTCTGTGGGCTTTGCTTTTGGTAAAGGGGTGAATCTATGATTTTTCCGAGCTGGGGCGGAATATTAAAACTAAAATTATTTTTTTTTCTGTGGATTATTAATTGATTTACCTAGCTCTCAATAAACACAACATAGGGTTCAGGCAACTTCTTAAGGAACAGGCCAAAATTATCTTTTCAGGCACTATTTGGAAGATTTTGACTAAAATTAGTGTGCCCCTCAAAAACAGTTTATACTGGCGCTTATGGCCATTTTCAATACTATTTATGTGTTAAATACTTTTTGTTTCAGCTGATTGAAGAAACAGGGCTGAAAGTGATTGCTGAGGATTATGAGAAGTGCTTTGCTGGAGAGTGTCTCACTTGTAGCAAAGAAAGAGCAGCTGCAGCATCAGCAGCATCTCGGGTCAATCAACAAGCCGGTGGTTGTGTGCCGATGGCACCGGCGATTGAGGTTAGCTGACTTTTTGCAAAATTCAAATTCCGTGCTTGCAAATTCTCAAACCCCAAAAAATAACAAATTTACAAGGTGCGGCTGCAACCAGGCAAATTTAATTACCAGACAATACTTGATCTGATTTTTCAGAATAGTAATTATCTCAAATTGAAAAAAATGACAGTCGAATCTCAAATTTTTGGATGATTTAAAAAATGCGGTAAAAATTAGCTAGTAGAAAAAGTCGAATTTTGACAGGAGAACAAAAAACAACCCGATCGAAAACATTCCGTCACTTTCTTCGACATTCGGAACAAAAACAAAGAAAATGGGACTGTTAAATGAAAGTGAGTATTGACTCTGCATTCAATTGAAAAGCGGAGGTTTGTTCTTACGTAAATCGGCTGATTTATGTTGCGTGATTGACAGTCCTGAGACAAGAACTATTTATGAAAACGCCCAGCAGGGAAAAAATAACGCCCGGCATAGCTAAGCCACAGGGGAGAAATTTACCGTTCTCGCTAGTTTTATCGGATCAAGTGTGCTTCATTCAAAAAAAAATTTTTCTAAAACTAAAACATTCCAGCTCGAACAATAGCATTGCTGTAAACTCACTACTAAATTCAACTTTTTGTTTCGTTAAAATAAGTTGCTTCCACATCTGGTAGTTAGAGATATGATTGTACCATTTGGTGTTTGCGTTTTTTTAGAACGTTATTTCGTCTTTTGAAGCATCACTTGAAGCGGTTTTTCTTTAAAAAACAGATAACTCTTACTGGAAAGCTGAGGCAGTTCTTTACTGTTAGCATTTAATTAGATTACCGACGAGCCATCACTGGACGATTCGGATGTCGGGGATGAGCGAAAATTGAGTGACGGGTCTGGAAAGAGAAGCGAAGACTCAATGATTTCGTCAGAGTTGTCGGAAATTATGTGCTCTGCGGGACACAATAAGAACGGCAATGGGAAACTGTTCACGCCAGTTCAGGGGGCAAAGGGAATTATCGTCAGTTTCCGAGGTCCGAGTATGTCATCCCGCCCGATTCCGGAGATGTCAGAAGAAGGAAGTCATTTGGAAGGTTTCTCGATAATTACTTTTTTTTCGTTTTTGTCGAGTTCTTAAAGTTTCAATAAATGTAACCATTTAATGGCGTGCCAGACAGGCTAAAAGCGCATGAAATGCAGATTTAAGGGTGGGTGGCAGATTTGGTAACATTTGACGACATCCCTTTTGGCCGACTAAAACTTTTTTAAAGGCGCAAGGAGCTTTTTTGGTCGAAAACCTCAGAAAGCTTCCAAAAAACTACGTTTTTGGCCAGTTGTATCAGCAATTTGCCACGGTCCCATAAGACTTTGTCGAAATAGGGTCCTTATAATGTGTTTTGGGAGAGCTCAGAAAATAAGTTTAGTCGACTAACAAAAAGCTCCGCTAAGTTCACCAAAAGTTTCACCGAATACTCACTCGAAAAAACTTAGATCCGCACCTGGCTATAATGGCGTTGAATTTAAGAAGCGTTTCTGGTACGCGTGTTTGCTAGTTTTAAAGCAATTCAACAATTTGAAACATGCGAGAGTGCTGTAAGCATTGTTTATTATGTTTCTTTCTCTAATTATTAAATTGAGTCAGTTCAAATTTAAGCTGAGACAATTTTTTGCACGGGAAGAAATGCCTTCAGCTATGACATAAAATCTTATGGACTAAAATCTCGGCAATTTTCTACGAAATTTTTTAAGGAAAAATCGGCGGCAATTGTCATGACAGTGACGACGAGGTTTGTTCCTCGGAGCTACACGGAGACGAGAACTCGGGATCTGAATGGGAATCTGAAGCGAATGCTCCGGTTAAAGGAAAAGAAGAGGTCTCCGATGGATCCTCGTATGTCGATTCTGACCTTGAAATAAAGCGCATTGAGCATTGTTTCACAGGGTTCAAGCAAGGCGAGACTAAAAAGGATTTGTTGCGGGCGAAAAGTTACGACCTCGACAGCGTATCGTTGTCGGTTGGAGACGAGGATAAATCGTATGAACGAAGCTCGGTTTGGATGCGAACCGGAAGCTTCGTGAGTCGAATGGGCAAACGAATGGCAAATCTGGGAAGTCCTCGTTGAAAGCCACGCCAAAGTCACGTATCTGACTGTCTCCTGATATAGTTGCACAAATGAAATGCTGGAACATTTCCGCGGCTTAGACATTAAGAGTACATTTATCTGTTTTCCACCCCGCTCCCACATTTCAACTACTTTCTTGAAATCTAATTTATGTTTTGATAATGTGAAAATGTGGATGATGAAAAAAAGACTAAACGTGAATACATTTGCTGTTCATACCTTATATCCTAAAAGCAAGATTTGGCGTGTAACGAAAACAAAGTGTTGAAATGTTGGGTTGGCCAGAGAAAAAAGAACCGATATTTAAAAGAAAACAACCAGAAAACCATAGAAAATTAATTATATTTGTGAATAGAAAAAATTCTGAAAGAAAATCTAAAGAAGTAACCAAGCTGAAAAAAATAAAACGGATGACATTATAAAAATAGTTGTAGTCCAACAAAAATAGTGCATGCTTAGTAATGAGCGGCAGAATAGTCAATTGATTAGCTGCATAGTTTTCAGGTTTCTGTAAAATCTTAACTGATTGAATTGAGACTTTGAAAGCCGATTGTTTTCGAAAAACACGTTTAGATCCCGTAATTAAGAGTCATGAACATACTGAATAAAGGTCTTGGTGATTTTTCAGTTTTTTTTTCAGGAAACGTTTTAAAATTTTTGCTTACGCTCGAGTTTGGTTTTTCGCGTTTTGTCTTTCGGGCTCTTTTCCAGTTTCCCACCCCCTTGTTAAATTACAAAATTAAGCTGTTCAAAAAATATTCCTAGGCATTTTGCACAGTAGTGGATTTAAGGGGGGGGGGGCGGGAGGGGCGGGAGGGGCGGGATTCGATCCCCTGTCGACCCAAAGGGTCCCCCTTTGTACTATTTTGAGATATCCATTTTTGGCTGACTGACCTTAAAATTTTTCCTGGGCGCCTTTGGCACCAATCTATACTAATTTTGAGGGGGGGGGCGCCGAAAAAACGCGGTTTTTTTGGTCGAAATTTTCCAAAAAGTGCCTAAAAACGCCTTTTTGGCCTTTGAGCCTTTACAAAAAATGCCTAAAAAAGCTTTTTTAGCCTTTTTTGGTCAAATTAGGGTCTTTAAAGTGGTTTGGAAGAGTTGAGAAAATCAATTTGGTCGACCCAAAAAAATGGTCGACAAAATGTTCAATTTTTTTTTTTAAATCCGCCCCCCCCCCTCCCCTCGAGAAATTCCTAGATATGTGCCTCATTTTGCATGTAATAAATGTCGTTAAAATGTGTTCACCAGTTCACGCTGACACGTTTCGAAGCAGTTTACAACAAGAAAAATATTTTTCAATAGATTTTCATATAACGACATTCAGAAAAAAATCAAAGGGGGACTAGAAAAAAGCTCAATTTCGATTTCTTTTTTACTTCAGTTCATTTCCCTTGTAAACAGCAAAAGTGCAAAAATCACAATAAACGTGATCGAATTCTAGTTTCGAAAGCGTTTTTTGAGTTTCAGATTTCCTGCGGACGACAAATTTACCAAAAAATTAAATTTTCTCAAATTGAGTTGATGTTATCAAAATTTTTTTTTCATAAATTCGTCTTGATGTTCAAAGAAAGTTAAGGACACATATTTATACTTTGCAAGTTGAAAGTTGAAGTTCTTTAAGAAAAAATCAGTTATTGTTTTTTGCTGTTTTGCGTTCATCAAATTTTTTTGATTTGCCCCGGTTTGACCATCCTACAAAAATTACCGTATCTTAGAACTTCTTATAAGATGTGGAAGTTTTAAAATAGCAACTTTTTCACAAAATTCAAAAAAAAATTGCCAAAAATTTTTTGAATGTGTTTCTATATCGTATTGAAAAATCAAAAACCAATTTTGAAAATTTTCGTTTTTTTTCAAATCTAAGGCATGTAGAATTTTTGAATAGCGGTTAAAATGTTTAAAAAAATAATAAAGTTCCGAAACAAAATCCGAAATTTTTTCCGACAATTATTCTTGCTCTACGTAATTAGCGGTTTAAATAGTTTTTGAAGAAAAAATAGATTTTGAAGAATCATGCTATATAGCTGCGGACATAATGTATGTGGGGCTTAGGTATATATTGACAAAATTTTTATTTTTACCAAAAAACTAACTCTCTGAAGAATCTTTAAACTGGTTAAAAGGAAATTTTTACAAAATAAACGTGTAAAAAAATTGAAAAATTGGGCAGGGAAAATTCCGATCTTGCGATTTTCTTACAAAAAATAGTCCTTGTCTTGTAGCTTTCTTAGAGCCTTTTTGTAAGAAGTTGTGAGATTCTTACGATAAATTCTAGGATAGCTACTTTTGATCAACCCCGTTGTATGTTGGCTATGTTTCAATGTGTTGATAATGATGTTTTCTGTTGTAACCCACCCTCTTATTTTTGAAATTATGCTTGAGGTTATCCATCTGTGGTATCATACTAATGACCAACTGATCCTTTTCAGATTCCGAAAAAAAAAACTAAAAAACGTCTCGGTGTCTGCGTGTTTGATAGTAATGAACGTAGTGAGTACTCTTATATAGGTCTTCATGATTTTTTTTTCAAGGAAAAATCTTAAAAAGTGTTCTCGCTTCATTCTGATTTTTTTTGCGGTTTGAATTGTGATTTTTTTAAGGTTCAGTGCATTTCCATTGGTTAAAAAGAAGGCAAAAACGACTAGCGAACAGCAAAAAAGGAAAGGTCACAAAAAACATGATCTACTTCTGATTTCGAAAACGGAAAATAATTATCAGATTTCCCAGCGAAACAAAAATTATACTTATTGATCCAGTTTTCTCAAATTGGGGGTTAATTTTCGCAAAAGAGTGTCTATCGTAAATTGTTCTACAAATTCAAAGAGCTTTAAGGCCATAATTTTTTCCTTCGTAATTCAAAAGTTGAAGGTTCTTGAAAAAACAATTCAGTTTTTCCCTGTTTCCTTGCGTTCATTGCTCTTTTCTAAAAGTCAGTTCGCTATAATTTGTTTATGCTAAATTGGTAGAGTTATACAGACCGTTTTTAGCAGAGGCTGACCTGTCAATTTAATTTTTCTACAAATTTATTAAAAGTCAAGCTATTAGTTTTAAAACTCATTTCTGTTTTTGTTTAAGCCAATCGAACAGTACATTGAAAACGGGAAATTTTGGAAGAAAAAAATTAAATTAAAACTGTTCAAAAAAATTTTGAAAGTGCATTGCTTGGAACATTCAGTGCAACTTACATAGCAACCAGTTTTTAAACTTTCGTCATCAAACACTCAAAATTTTTAAAGTATATTTGCTATATTCAGGTCTTTTTCTCGATACGATCAATTTCAAGCAACGAAGATCGCGCAATATTTTAGTCAGAATTCAAACAGAATTTTACTTAAGCATGAAACAAAAAGTCTTTTTTCGAGTTTTTATTATTTTCTCTGGAGATTTTTCAATTCATTTTAAAAATAAATCTCTCAAATTTTCTTATCCTTTATACAAAAAAAATTTGAGCTTTCAAGTTTTTTCGTATAATGAATAAGAAAACTTGAAAGACTTATCTTTAACATGAATAATAAGTTGTATTAAGTTGTAAAAAGTTGAAAAAGTTGTATTGTTCAAATATTCAAAGCTAATCAGAAAAGTGATTTGGGTGAAAGGAACTAAAAAGGACATTTGAATGTTTAGAATTAAAATGTTTTCAACTTGGAAGCTAAATATCTCAGTTAGGACCCCATATAGATGAGATCTTTTAAAAACACTAAAATTTTCAGCCTTTTTGAACGCTAAAATGGTTGAAAGCTTGAATGTACAATCTAAATGACAACTGAATTTAGACCTTACATCTTTAGCATTTATCTATGTTTACAGGAAGATGAAGCGGATTCGCACCACTAGTGCTACAAGACTATGATAGTTTACCAAGCAATATTAAACAAGACTGCTCTTAGCATACCGAAGCCCTGAATGTTCTGACTGCCTTTTAGGGTCTATGGAGCAGTGTTTGCTAAAAGGATCTCGATGAATTTTCAAAAAAAAAAAAATTGATAAGATTTCTCAAATAATCTCCCCACACGCCATATACAGTACAGAAAGATAAACATCGATCCTATTCACGTAGCCGATATGACAAACCACCTGCTTCAATCCATTTGCAACGATTTCTAAGACGGATTAAATCTCGGCTTACGCGTTAATTATCCCAAATTTAAACATCCAAAACTTTTAAAAAAAAGTATCACAGTTAAAAAGTTTTTCAAAAATTGAACTCCGGACAATTTACCTTTCGGATGATTGAAAAAAAAAACATCAAAAATGGCCTATTAAAACTCAAAATCTGTCAAGATAAAGAAAAAACACCTCGAGCATACATTCGATTACTTTCTTCAAAAGTCCGAAAAATTAAGACTAAGTTGGAAGCTACTCAGTCCATAAATTTTTCAAGAAACCAAACGAAATTTTGATCTAATGAAATGTTTATCTGCTTTTCTCAAAAAAACTCAATTTGGGAAATTTCTGTTGATTAAAAACAACAGAATTAATGTAAGGATCAGACAATTTTTAACAACCGGTAATCAAGTTGAGAGTACTCAATCAGAAGTTGTCGGCCAACTGTTACCAAAACAATGATCTAATAAATCTCTGAGACTCGAAGTTGTATTGTCGCCCCAAAAACTCCATTATTTTAGCCAATAGAATGAGGCAACAGACGTTGTGGCATTTTTTAAAAAAGCAAAACAGGTTAATATCAAATTATCACTTTTTAAATAAAAGCACGTCTTACTCATACAACATTTAAAAATATTCCTTATACACCCAATCAATTTTATAAATTAAACGGCACGTCTCATCAATTGTTTTATTTTATTTATTGAATAGCTTACTAAGAAAACCAAGTTACTTGAAGAAGTAATTTTTGAAAAATGTGAACAGTCTGATTTCTTAAGTTAGTGACTTCCATTTTTTTATTGCAACTTCTTGCTGCTGAATTTTTTTTTGTTGTTTGATTGAATTTGGGGTTTTAACTGTTGTTTTTTTCTTTTTTCTTTGCAGCTCTCTCTTGTTTTAGTAAGGGGTCAAAAATTATATACAGCTTTTTTAGTAATTCGCGGGCTCTATCAAATTTTCTAGAAAAAACAGTGACTTCGGTTCCCCAGTTTATTTGCTCATTTGTTCTGTTCAATTGTAAGGTTCGTAGTTTTTGAAAAAAAAAATGCTCTATATGTTAAATAGGATATTACTAAAGATTCGAATAACCTAATCTGAACGTTCAAGGGTACTTCAAAATTCTAGCTTCAAGAAATATTCTAGATGTCTGCCTGATTTTGAATCTTTATTTTGTTCTTATAAAGACAAATTGAGTATATTCTTTTTTCACAAAGTTTGAAAAAACAGTCGAAAAAGGCGTTTTTAGGCACTTTTTGGAAAATTTTGACCAAAAAATTGCGTTTTTTCGGAGCGCGCTCCTCCCTCAAAAATAGAATATATTGGCGCCGAAGGCGCCTTTAGAAAACTTTTAGGGTCGGTTGGCCAAAAATTGATTTCTTAAAAAGTACCAAAGGGGGGACCCTTTGGGTCGGCAGGGGGTCGAATCCCCCCTAAATCCGCCCC